TGTAAAGCACAGCTGCACCGACCAAAATGGCTCCTTGCGCGGTCTCTGCCTCTTAGGTCCTATCCGAGCACTTTACTGACAGAAGCAGTTTGTGCCCAGCAGCCCCACAGACCCCAGGCAGCCCTCAGAGGATGAGCTAAATTAGCTTCACCTCCTACCTCACGAACAATTCCCGCCTATGCTCTAGCCACATTGCTAATGATGATGTAAGAAACTTTAATAAGAGTCTTATTTGCACGTACCAGGTTTAACTTTTTGGAGACAGCTGTTCAAGGAGTCCTCCGGTGATGGGCACACGCAGGCTCTTCTGGGGCCTTGGCGAACAAAGACGTTCACAGGAACGCTTCTGCAGCGGCTGCTTGGCAAATACGGACATCCTCAGATGACAGGACAATTTATTCCCTCTCTCAGCGTAATCTTTGTAACTTTGCCTGTTTTTGGAAGGGAGTCTGAGTAGTCTTAAACGTATATTGTATTGACACCAGCAATGCTGCATAAAAGGCTCAGTGCAAACAGCTCTCTTCCTTTTCTTAAGCAGCTTTTTGGCCACCCCTCTTTTCACACCGCAGGAGCTACCAGGACAGTCACAGTGGCTTTGCACGTCGCTTCACCAACAGGTGAAGTCCACCTTGCTGCTCCTCATGAAAAAGGAGAGGAACAGACCCAGACAGAGCTCTTAGGCACTTCCACCTCATCATATGATCTTCAAGTCTCCAACCACCAGGGATTTTTTTTCTAATTTTCTGCTATAAGCTAAAATCGTGTCCCATCCCACATGCTGAGCCTGTAGGTTATATGAATGCAAGTCACTCCTTGGTCCTCTGCCTAAATACCACAGGAGAGCAGCCTACGTGCAGCTGCTCCACAGCCTCTCGCGTTCGACACCAGTGGGAGGGAAAAGCGTGGCCGGGAAAAGGGAAGACCATCGCATTGCATTGAATTACCATTGCACCAGTCTACGTGTCAGCGTTAGAGGATTTGTATTTACGCAGGGAGAACCTGCTGCTTAAGGACAGGAAGGGGTCCGAGGGAAGCCAAAACTCGCAGCTGCAGTCTGCGCACTGCTAGGGAGCCGCAGTCGGGGTGCACTGCGTCACCCCCCATCTCTCCCAGCACCGGCGAAGAGCTATGGTCTCACACCAAGGAGGCAGGGGCTCCACTCCACCAGCTTCCAGGTCTACCTCTCCCCAGTGCCTTTTGCTTCACAAGGCTGGATATGCTTTTAACTTCTTATAATGCAACGATCTGCTCCTCTCTTTCTATCCGTAAAAGGCAACAGTTCCTAACCGTAAGAGTAGCTGGGCTGCCTTTATCCAAGTTAGAAGGGGGGTATCAACAAAGCATGTGTAATTATGCGAACACAAGCCTATTTTATCCTTTGTAGTATCTCAAATTTTTAGCTACTTAGTGTAAAGCACACAGCTATGAATAAAAACCTTTTTTTCATTAATGCTTGTTTAGGTTAAAGCCCTAGGATTAGCAGTGCTCTTTAAGTATTTTAAGAATTTTATTAATAATTAAAAATTTAAAGCATTTGGTCTAAATTAAGTTTTGCTCTTTCATTAAGTACCCCTCCATAACCAGAGTCAGGGTGTAGGTTCAAAGTCAAAACATTTGTAGCAAATCTGTCCAAGTGCCGTGGGAGATGTGAATTGTCCCTGCAAGAAGTAGAAAAGGGTTACACGGGCACAGAAAATAACTGATGCACTCCCCCCCCCCCCCCCCGCTGCA